GGGGCAGGAACTATTTGATAGCAATTACTATACCCTTAAGTCTTCTCCCCACACCATACTTCTGGACTAGTGTACCTTCCTATTGCAGAAATCTGGAGTTTCATTTTCTGCAAAGAGTGAAACAAGTGATCCCACTGGGGAGTCCCAGCCACAGTTTAAGGCCTGGGTGCCAATATTGGGTGGTTAGGAGATGGCGAATGTACTTAATGCAGAATATTTAGGCACAGACACCTTCCACCTAAGCTTCCGGAGCACTGCAATGAGACCCTAAATGTGCAGGAAAGGCCTTTTGATCATCTGTGATGCTGACACGCCCAAGAGAGATGTCACAGAGATACTGACATTAGCAGCTCCCATGACTCCCACTTCTTTCACTAGGAAGCTCCAAGTAAATAAGCAATGCCCACAGCCCAGAGCTTCCAATCCCTTTTTGTTCTAACAGTTGTAATTTCAAACAGAAGACAAAGGAATGTCAGATCTCTACAAGAAGGGCCTCAACATGAAAAATAAACACCAACTCAATCAAGTGGAAAAATAGAAATTTGTGAGAAACTCAGCTGGGAAAAGAAAAAAATTTAAAGTTACAAAGTACTTACAGTATTTTAAGATTTAAGGCAAGAATAATAAATACATTCCATCTTACTCCTGCCATTAATTACACCACCACAGGTCACCTACTGAAAGATTCTGAAAGGTGACCTAAAGAAGGTAGACTAGCTCGGGACCTCTGGACCAGAAGAAGATCCCAATGGGGAGTTCTTGGGGTGTTTCTTCTCCCCGTGGGTCCAGCTTGGGGTTATGGAAGTCTGCAACCTGGAAATACCAACAGACACACACACACACACACACACACACACACACACACACGCACTTGCCATAAGAAAAGCCAAAGGCCAGGAAAAGGTGGTCCAACCTGACAGAAACCTGCTCTGTTCTTGAGGAAAACACAAGGAAAGCTGCATCTCTCTGTCCTCTGAAAGGTACTGAAGAGGTGGTGGGAAGTGATGTGCCAAGCCCTTCCCCTCCAGCCAGGTGGCCCCAGTTGAGCCTACAGGCCAAGATATCTCAACCTCAGCATTACTGACATTTGGGGCTGGAAAATTTTTTGCTCTCAGCTGTGTCCTGTGCACTATAGAATGTTTAGCAACAGCCCCCTGCAGAACTTTATAAACACAACTGCCATTGGAACCACAGTCCACTATAGTGAGCCAGGATATGCATTCTGAACTTAACAGGTTGAATGCCTGCTAAAATACACTTAAGTGGAAACAATGGCATCAGAAAATTATTCTCAAAATGCATATTATATAGCCCACAATTACTTGTCACATTGAGAACTAGGAAAATCTCAACTGCAATAAGAAACAGTGTGGGGGTGACTTTGCCTGCAAGTCCCCCCATCCGCCATGGATGAAAGTAACACCACCAAGACATGATCTGCTTGGAGAGGAGAGGTGGCCAATTTCTTGGAGGAAAAAGGCCAGGAGCCCCTTCCTCCAGTGGATTTTATTGGGTTGTAATGCACAGGAATAAAGCCGGTAAGGATCAAACAGTAGATAACATTTCAAAGAAATCTAAGGGCTTAGTCTAAGTCAGTGTCTGTCAGGAAAGGGGGTTGCAGAAACTTTGGGAGACATACTCATTTCCTGCTCGGACTCTTAACATATGAATGAAAGCACTCTTAGCAAAGCAGGTTTCATAGGACTTTTAGGAATTCTTTCTTATGCCAAATTTCCCTGCATTCGCTCTAGCAAGGCAAGGAGCTACACCGCCTCTCCATCACAGGTTTTCAGACTTAAGTGGATTAGAGCCAGGGCTTCTCCAAGACGGAAATGGGGACTTGGGCTATGTCAGAATAGCTAGGGGGTGAGGGTCCATCACTCCCTCTTTGTTGCAGCCGCCCAAGTCCTTCTGTGATGGCCTCCCAAGTGATCGTGTCTGGTTTAGGTTGCCCGTCTCTCTGAAGAGTCTTACCCATCATGGACTAACCGACCATGCTTTGGGGGCAGGAGAGGAAGCAGAGGCATCATTTGCTACCACAGACAAGCTTTGTCTCCTTGTGGCTCACATTCTGGAGGTCACTCACTCAGCCTTAGCTATGGGGGGTAGTTACAATTCCTGAAACCAGGCAGAGTGGTTCCCCAAAAAAGGCAATCAACAGAATTATTGGACAAAGATTTTAAAGCAGCCATCATAAAAATTCTCCATTGAGCAATTATGAACACACTTTAAACATATGAAAGTGCAAGTAACAATGAAAGAAGAGAAATTATTGACATTATAGATGTTCCTCTACTTATAATGATGTTATATCCCAATAAACCCATCATAAGTTGAAAATATCATAAATTGAAAATGCATTTCATACAACTAACCTACCAAACATAATGCTTAGCCTAGCCCAGCAATTTTCAATCAGTATACTACACGAATTTTTAAAACATGCAATACCTAGATTGTCATATTAAAAATGGCAATAATCAACACAATGATAGCTGTTCAGTATGAATAAATCAAAGTTATACCTATTTTTATCAGATAAGCAAAATATATTTTTTTAGTGGGCTGCAGAATTTTAGTAATTAGTGTGTGTATTGTGAATTGAAAATCACTGGCCTAGCCTAACTTGAACATACTCACCATTTACATTAGCCTACAATTGGGCAAAATCATCTAACACAAAGGCTATTTTATATTGAAGTATTGAATATCTCATAAATTTTATTGAATAAATAAAATTATTTTTATTGAATACTGTACTGAAGGAAAGAATAATGGTTTTATGGGTATCACTTTTACACTGTTGTAAAGTAAAATAAATCCTTCTCAAAGTATTATACATCAGGAAACATCTGTAAAAGACAAGGGATGAATATCAAGAAATATAAGGTACAGAGATTTCCCAGTACCCCCTGGTTCCACACATGCATAGCCTCCCCTATTATTGACCTCTGTACCTTCTTATTAATTTTCCTGTGAACCCAAAACTTCTATAAAAAATAAAATCTATTTAATAGGTGTGTGTGTGTGTGTGTGTGTGTGTACACACAGAAGGTATATATATGTCCAGAAGGTATCCAGCCACATACTATGAAAAACAGAGACATTTACTGAAGAAGATGCAATATACAAAAAGCATTGTACATAGGACAATGATGCCTCAGCCACCTTCAACGTAGGCACCTTGGGACCTCAAACAGTTCTTCCAATCACCATCACCTGCCTCCTCATATTTTCCTGAAATTCATCCACAGTCTGAAATCTCTTCCCTTTCAAAGGCAAATTTAACTTTGGGAAAACTTAGAAGTCTCAGGGTGCCCAATCTGGGCTGTAGAGCAGCTGAATCACTTGGTTGATTTGATGTTTCACCAAAAAATTCTGCAGGAGATATAATGCATGAGCAGGCACGTTGTTGTGATGAAGCTGCCATTCACCATTTGTCCATAGCTATTGCCTTCCGAATCATCCCAGTAGTTTCCATGGAGGAATGTTCAAGCTTAACTCAAAATTTGATTCACATTCGTTGCTCTATTCAGTCATTTTGAATGTAATTGCCACACAGTACACATGCTCACTCAGTGGTGTCTATTGCCCTCACTACTAGTATAGTGAAGTCATCATTGTTTACACATGTGCATTCCTGCCCACTCTCCTTGGCTGCCAGGTTACATCGATCTTCTGCAATCCATAACAATGGCTGGTTTTCTTCTAGACAGACCTTGTGGGGGACCCCAAAAACCAGGATTATCTCCTTTGTAGTACAGGCTTCTCCTGCTTGAGTGTCTTAAGAACCCATCTGTACTAGTGTACTAGCTGGTGTTGTGAGAGACTGGGTTTGGCTTCAGTTAAAATTTTTTTAAGACCCTTTCAATATGTTTGGACATTTCCTGATGGGTGATTTACAAGCACACCTACCCACACCATGCTGAATGTTCAGCAGTTTTGACCAAAAAACACACAACTCACCCCGTGCCCCACCCTCTCTATTCACCAGTCTCACCCCAAGTGACTTTTTTGTTTGTTTCCTGGGATGCAAAGAGTCCTCAAAAGGAAACATTTTGCCAATGCAGAAAAGATGAAACAAAAAACAGCAGAAGCACTAAAAGGCATCAAAATCAATGAATTAAAAAATGTTCTGAGCAGTGGAAAAACATCTTGATAGGTGTATTGCATCAAATGGAGAGTACTTTGAAGGTGACTGAAGTTTAAACATGTAATAATAAATACAAAATTTTTATAAATAAATTCCATTTTTGGGGGGTCCCCCCTCATATGAAACACCCAGAGGTAGGCAAACTATTTCTGTACAACTCATGAGGTAAGAAAGGTTTTTACAATTTTTTAATGCTTAGGTAGAAACAAAGAATATTTTATGGAATACAAAAATCCAATGAAATTCAGATTTTGGTCTGTAAATGAGGTCTTATTGGAACACAATCGTGCTCATACTGTCACAAAAGCAAGAGCTCTGAAGTTTTCACAGGGTTCAGTGGTATCATGTACTTTCCTGGCCCTTTTTTCTTTGAAGATCACATAACTTGCTTTGTTCAATGTCACATTAGCACACACGATCAAGATGAGCAATTGCGCTTGCACATTTCTGTCTTACAGTGACATATGGCCAAACCCAGTCTTGCTGGCTGCATGTTGGAAGACACTGGGAAGTTAAGAGCCAAGAGCCGGCCAGCTCACCAGAGCGAAACCACTGGAGACCACAGATTCAGCCTTCGGTGGAGCAGTCACCAGAGATCCCTGAGCACAGCTCTAGTGGGTGCCCTAACACATAAAGACAGAAAGACTGGGGAACACGTGGGAGCAGTTCCAACGCGTGCCGGCGGTTCCTGCACGTGCAGAGGCAGGTGCATCCCAGTGGTCAGGCGCGTGCGCAGTACACCAGCCCCTCATGCCTCACTTGTTCAAGCTCTGGCGCCATCAGGCGTCAAGTGCCGGCAGCCATCGCGAGAGCAGTGGCTCCGCCCTTGTACAGGCTCCTCTGCCGCATGGCTGCCTTGTTCTTCTGCCCCTATGCTGGGCCTAAACCTTCATATACAGTCTCGACCCTCCTCTTGCAGCTGCTGCTGCTACTACTTCTGCCCCCCTCTTGGGACGCAGCCACGGTGCGCAGGGCCGCTGACAGCGAGGGGCTCACCTTGAGCCGTGACTTGGGTAGGCAGTGGTTGAGGGCAATATGGTGCTTCCCCCCTTGACCCCACCATGTCAGAAGCCCTTTCCCTCACCCTCTCTCAACCTCACCCCCACCCCCTCACCCTCATCTCCTACGCTCCCCTCCCCTCTGCTCCCTGCCACAGTCCCCCCTTCCCCCTCTCCACTTGCCTTGGCCAAGCCGGCCTGCACCCACGGAGCTGCCCCTCATGAGCAGCACTCTGGTCCTCGCAGCCTGTGGACAGCGTCATGTGCAGGGGAAGGTCCTGGGGGGCGTGGACGCCCCGGAGAAAAAGTGGCCATGGCAGGTCAGTGTGCACTACAGGGGCTTCCACATCTGCGGTGGGTCCATCATCGATGAGTACTGGGTCCTGTCGGCAGCCCACTGCTTTGGCAGGTGAGTGAGTGGTGCCAGGGTTGTTCCCAGGGAGGCCCACGGCAGGAGGCTTGCTCTGGAGACATGTGGAGCAAGACTTCTTGGCTTTGGAAAGAGAGTGGGGCTCACATGGCTCAACCCGCTATAGCTCCTGTCCGCCGGGGTAGTGGAGGGATCCTCAGGGCCTTCTGCATTTTTAGATGGGTGTGGAGCCAAGTCACAGGATGATTAGTCATCAGAGGATTAAGAGGTAAGGAGACCCATCAGAGGAGGGGAGACTCACTACAGGATATCAGGCTAGGAGACATATTGTCGGGGGAAGAGCCGCAGAATGGGATGAGAGCTGAGCAGAGACCTCTAAGCAGTTCTCTGTATGCCTGACAAGCTCACCATCCTGGGCTGCTGGTGGCCAGTAGGTCCTGATGTTTTCCCCCACTCTCCATGGGCCCAGGTCAGGACTTCTTTGGGGACAACTCTTCAGACAACCAAGTCCCCACTGTCCTGCAAGGGATTGCTTTTCCCCATCCTGGCTGAGAGCTGAGACACCAGGCTGCCTGCCTCCAGAGCTCCAGGCCTACCTGTGTCTGTGAGCTAATGATGGTGCCTCCCTAGGTTCAAGATACTTGAGCTACAGTGCCTTTCTCTGTCCCCACAGGAACAGGGATACAGAAGCCTATGATATGTACGTGGGCCTTGTGGACCTCATGGTCGCAGGCAGTCACACCCAGTGGTTTGAGGTGAATAAGGTGATCCTGCATGATACATATAAAGCACAGCACCCTATCGGAGGCGACGTTGCTCTGGTGCAGCTGAAAACTCGCATTGTGTTTTCTGATGCTGTACTCCCCATCTGTGTTGCCACCCCAGACATGAGCCTTCAAAACCTTACCTGCTGGGCCACAGGATGGGGACTCATCTCTCAAAAAGGTAAGAGAACACAGTGCAGCATCGGTACCTCCTTTATGGCACTATGGGAAAGAAAGTGTTCTGTCATTTATAGGATTGCAGGCACCTGGGGACTGGAATTCTGACCTGTTAATCACTATGTTTTTCTGCCACTGTGGAGTTTTGTTTTATCCCTGGCTGGCTTTGTTGTACACAGAGAAGTAGTTACTTATGCTTTGAGTGTGGAAATAATATTTAGTATATCAAAACCACTAGTTTCACAGTAAAGTTTCTTAAGATTATAAACCTCGCTTAGAAGTAACCTTTTCAGCCTATTTAAAAAAACTATTAGTTATTCTCATTTTCTGCATAAAAGCCTTATTTTTCTTTCTAGGTTTGTACCTGGGTGCTTTAGAATTTTTATGTCTAAGTAAAAGATTCTTTTACTTTTTGTTTTTTTAAATATTTATTTATTTATAATTTTAATTGTATTTTTTCCATTACCATTTACCTCCCTTATACTCTCCTCCCCCTCTGCAATCACCACACTGTTTGTTGTCCATGTCCATGAGTCCTTCTTCCTTTTTGCTCCATATCTTCACACCTTAAATCCCCCTGCCAAAGCCGTCAGCCTGCTCTCTATTATTCTATTTTGCTTGTCATCAATGAACAAACAACAAATGCTGGTGAGGATGTGGAGAAAGGGGAACTCTTATGCACTGGTGGTGGGAATGCAGATTGGTACAGCCACTGTGGAAAGCAATATGGAGATACCTCCAAAAACTAAAAGTGGAACTGCCTCGTGACCCAGTGATTCCACTTCTGGGAATTTATCCAAAGAAACCAGAACACTAATTTGAAAGAACATAAGCACTCCTGTGTTCATTGCAGTGTTATTTACAATTGCCAAGATATGGAAGCAGCCAAAGTGTCCATCAGTAGATGAGTGGATAAAACAACTATGGGGCATTTACACAATGGCATACTACTCATCTGTAAAGAAGAAAATTTTACTGTTTATGACGACAGCGTGGTTGGAACTGGAAAGGTTCTTTTAAATTGCATTTGCTAATCAGTTATAGCTATTGATTTTTGCACATTGACCTTTCCAGCCACCTTATAGAACTAGTTTTTAATAGCTTGTGAATTGATTATTTGACCGTTCTAAATATTTTAAAGTCATGTTTATTTTTCAAATAAGATTGTTTCATCACTTCCTTTCCTATATTTTATTTCACTTTTTTTATTGCATTGGTTGGCAACTCTAATAGAAATTATATTAAGTCTCTTTTTATTTTATTTCATTTTAACGGGAACATTTCTAATGGTTTATTATTAAGTTAGTGGTTTGGTCCAGAGATTTTAGATTGGTATCTCATTCCAGGATAAGAAAGTTTAAAATCTTGTTTGCTTAACTTTAGAAAATGTTATTGAAGGTAAGCTGCTATAAGTTAAAATTAGGATGGTAAATGTAATCCCCATGATAACCACAAAAAGTAGCTAGAGAATATACACAAAGAATAATTTAAGAGAATTTAAACACTTCACTACAAAAAAAATCAACTAAACACAACATAAGACAGAATGCTGGAAATGAGGTACACATTGCATAGCTGCTGTGGAAAATAGTATGGAAGTTCATAAAAAATTAAAAATAGAATCATCACTTGACCCAGCAGTTCCACTTCTGGGCATATACCTAAAAGATTTGAAAGCAGGATCTTGAAGCAGTTATTTGCACAATCATGCTCATAGCAGTATTATTCACAATAGCAAACCAAGCACCCACTGACCAGCGATGGATTACCAAAATATGGCATACACTTACAATGGAATATTATTTAGCCTACAAAAGGAAAGAAATTCTAATATGGATGAACCTTGAGGACATTGTGTTAAGTACAATAAGCCAGTCACAAAAAGTCATATACTGTATGAGTCCACTTATATGATATACTTAGAGTATATTATTCTAAATAAGTTTAAATTGTTTGTTCTCTACTAAAAAGAACAATTTAAACTCTATATTTAGAGATTTCCTACTTATAATGGTAAGGAAGATATATCTAGATTTTTGATAGCTGACCTAGAGTTTTTTGACGTCTGACTTTGCACAATGAGTTTTCTGCTCTGGAGTAGTTCCTATGATGTGGAAATCAGCTGCTCCTTAAAGGTATAATATGATTTACCCATAAACCACTGTGACCCTGATGCTTCTTGTGGGTATAAATTATTACTACTATCTTTAATTTCTATTATTGTTACTGGTTTATTCCATTATAAAATTTATTCTTAGGCCACTTTTTATTAATTACATTTTTTTTAGAAAGTTATCCATTTTAGTCCAGGTTTTTAATATAATGGTATTATATAATAATGTAATTCATATATTTTCCTCTTATTTGTTTTTCCTAGCTCTCTTTTTTCCTGTCAAAATTTATCTATTCCATTGTCTTTTCAAACACTGCCAGAGGTTTTATTTGTGTTGAAGTTATAGTGGTGGGTGGTATTTCATGGATTGGTTGCTTTGCTGTCAGTCAGCTGGCCTTCTCTTCATTTTTCTACATTAAACTCTTGAGTTTGCTGAGCTATCCTTTTCTAATTTTTTGAATTGCAAGTTTGGTGATGTACCTTCAATCTTTTATGCTTATTCTATGAATGAATAAGATTATCAATTGTACCCGCCCAAGGACTCCTTTGTTCATTTAACATATTACAGATGTATTTGAACAGCCTCTTGACACTTCCAAAAAATTTTTCTGCTTTATTCCTCCTACAAATTAGCCAACATCTTGAATATTATGTTTAATATTCCCATGCATGCTTTCATACACTTCGTCATAGAAATGACCCACTAACTTCTGGTAAAGATGGCTTGCCAGAAGCAAGCATAGGTATGCTTTACCTAAAACATAGGTAAAACACGGCTTGGTTCCTCATACAACCACATCAAAATTACAACTAAAATATAGAACAACGATCACTCAGAACTGTCAAAATCAAGTTGAATGAAAATATCACAACTATGGAATTTAGGAAACCACATCTATTCAGACTGGTAGGAGGGGTGGAGATGTGGAACTGGCTGTCCCACATCCGTGGGTGGTGGCTAAAAATTCAGGAGGGATATCTTGGGAGCAAGGAGTCCCAGACTCACCAGCCCAGGGTTCCAGTGCCAGGAAGATAAGTCCTCACGAGTTCTCGCTACAAAAACCATCAGGGATTGAATCAGTGGAAGAAACTTACAGAGTCCCAAGCAATTCCTCCTGAACCCACACACGGACTTACTCTGACTCACTCCCTCTGAGCTCCAGTACTGGGAGAGAAGCTTGAAATGCACCAGTGGAACACAGGGAGGAACAGAAGTATCTGGCAGCAAGGCAGGAGCTGGAGGACAGCTTTTTCCCAGACAGAAAGGCAGGCAGAGTCCACTGCCCCTTTTCTGAGCCCTCCCCCCATACAGACCCGGCAGGCAGGTGCCATATATGACACGCCATCAATCTAGCTAATACTGTTTTCCCTGCCCTGGTGATCTCCTGAGACTCTATCACATCCGATTTATGGACCCACCCAAATTGTTAACTCTTACTTTTCCATATGAATGGCTGATCTTGGCTCATTGTGCACAACTTCCCTAAACCCTATCAAAGAAGCAACAGCCAGTTTCAGTGAGCATCCAGTCCCTCCACCACTCGCTTAGTGGCCCCAGGCCCGGCACTAGCAGCTGCCAGCCTAGATTAACAGCTTGGCTTCACCTGGGAATTTCCAACCCCAGCACAAGTAGCTGCCATCGGAGATTGCTTTATAGCAGTTTCAGGGTGGCCCTGGGCAGAACACAGGAAGGGCTGACCTTGGCCAGCGCCACCTGGGAAATCTCAGAGCCTGTGTACCCAGTGAATAGTTAAAGACCACGTAGGAGCACCATCACCCTGCCCCTGCACAGCTGATCCTCCACACAGGGCAGAGATTGATGGTCAGTGTTCACAGCCACTCCTCGCAGCTGACTGGCTTCATTAAATCCATCCCATTGACCTGCCAACAGCAATCAAAGCTCAAGAAGAGGGAGTACTCAGCCACCATGGAGGGTGCACCTTGAATACCCACCTTGGGTGATAAAGGAGGCTGTGCCACTGAATCGCACAGGACACCTACTACATTAGGCCATGCTACCAAGATGGAGTCACAGCAGCTCTACCCAATACATGGAAGTAAAGCACAGGGAAACTGCCAAAATGAAAAGAGGAAGAAACATGGCTCAAATGAAAGAACAGATCAAAACTCCAGAAAAAGAACTAAACAAAATGGAGATAAGCAATCTATCAGATACAGAGTTCAAAACACTGCTTATAAGGATGTTCAAGGAGCTTAGGATTTCAACAACCTTAAAAAGGCCAACCGGAACAGCAGGCCGGTGAAGGTCCCGCAACCAGTAGCACATTTTTTTTCCTTCCCTCTCTCCCTCCCCTATAAAAAAATAAAAAAAAAAAAGATCCAGTCAAAAACAAAGGATACACTCATTGAAATAGAACAATTTAGAGGGAAACAACAGTAGAGTGGATGAAGCTGAGAATCAAATCAATGATTTGGAACATAATGAAGCAAAAAATAACCAATCAGAACAACAAGAAGAAAATAGAATCCAAACCCGCACCCCCCCCCAAGATAGCATAAACAGCCTCTGGGCAACTTCAAGAGGTCCAACATTCACATTATAGGGGTTCCAGAAGGAGAAGAGAAAGAGCAAGAAATTGGAAATCTATTTGACAAAAATAGTGAAAGAAAACTGCCTTAATTTTGTAAAGGAAATACACGTGTAAGTCTAGGAAGCACAGAGAGTCCCAAACAAGATAGATACAAAGAGGAACACACCAAGACACATCATAATTAAAATGCCAAAGGTTAGAGATAAAGAGAGAATCTTAAAAGCAGCAAGAGAAAAGAAGTTAGTTACCTACAAAGGAGTTCCCATAGATTGTTGGCTGATTTCTCAGAAGAAACTTTGCAAACTAGAAGGGATTGGCAAGGAATATTCAAAGTCATGA